CAATTTCAATCCAAGAATATCTGCACCGGATTTTCTTAGAATTGACCCAGCAACAAGCCATTGCCTGTTGGCCAAAGACCCGTTTTTGGCTCAGGTGATCTAAGGGCCTCCGTGGCCTCGCAGCAGAAGCAGCTGGATTCGCTGATCGACAAAGTAGCGCTGCTGCTCTCCTCCATGCACTCGGAGGCGGTGGAACACATGGTGGCCATGGGGGCCATGGGGCTATCGAAGTGGACCTGGCGAAACCTTGAAAATGAATGGCAGAACTTGAAAATGGATGAACAGTGATGAACATGGTGATTTTCCAGATCAGTTTACCTGAGACCAGAGGGTAATTATGGGAAATGAATGGAAATTCATTCACGGGAATTGACCACAATTGACCATTACTCCTAATATCTCGGGGAGAATACGGAGATAGATGGATATAACCTGACCATACCTGACCATGGTTGATGAACTCTGATTGGGAGAGCATTGGATCCAAGAATCCAAAGACAAACGATTCCTTATATCCATCATATACCCCTAAGATTTCAGGTTGAAGTGTGACCATTTCCCAGAACTGAGTAGAAAGTTTATAGACAGGAACCACCCCATATATTGGATAGGAAAACAATGGGGTCCTCTAGAATATCTTTAGAGTGTCCCTCAAATCAGCATTAAATGGTCCAAATAATGTTGAACCATGTTGAAATTATTCCCAACAGCTTCAACCAGTACGAACCATACTACTACATATCGTATTTAGTGGATAAAAAATTGATCATATTTGATCATGTTCCCATGTTGACGGGTTTGATTTCCGATTCTACCCACCGTACCCCGTGAAAAAGAGATCGGATCGCGAAGTGATCACTATTTTCAACCTGGTGATCATCTACATGTCGGATCTTTTGCGGAAAAACACCTTTCTATTTTGCGGGGCGGAGTCCTATGGATTTCACCGGCGGATTTCCGGCCTGCCGCGAGTCGTGCTGGCTGCGAAGGTCCTGCAGGACCTCCGCTGTGCCGTTGCGACGCCCGAGTTCGAGGCCCGCCTGGCCGAGATGCGTAAGGTGGGTGAGGCACGGACCTGGGAAGGGATCGAGCTGGGATCTCCCCAACAAAAATTGGAGAAAGGGAGGTTCCTGAAGCTGGTAGCGTGTTGATTTTTTGGTGCGAACCAAGGAATTGTTATAAATTATTCTCATTTATTACTCTAAATCTTTCTTGTGGGGGTTGCTGTCTATTTTAAAATTTCACTGTTCTATCTTGTTTTTGGAGGGTTGCTATTGCATTAATAGCCACCTGAAGTTTGAATGCACTGGGACGAACTACTGAGATGATTAAGACCGGGGTCTTCTGGAAGGGGATCCAGCACGGGTTTGAAGATGGGCTACCCTCCGGCAATCAGCTCCATGGCTGCAAAATCCAGCATTTAGATCTATAGTTCAATGATTTTCCATCGGAAAACCTCCGTTTGTACAGGATTTAATGTGGGTAAAGCAATGCCATAAACAACCCATGACTTGGGAATGGTAAACATACCACCTATAAAAAGGATGATTTGGGGGATGGCTTATGGCATTGTATTACCCACATTAGTTCAATGACGGTCTTCCCATTATCTCCATGGCCACCGAAAGAAGCCAAGTAAAAACGTCGTAGGTCTTGGATGAACGCTTGGCGGAGCTGCGGGCTGAAGCCGCCCAAGTGCCAGAGGGAGTTAGGCGGGCGGGGACAGATGAGCCACGAAAAATGCGATTTTCATGGGATTCCGATGGGATTTACCATCCAGTAAATTAACATAGACCCTGGCAGTCATCCGGGGTTGGAAGATCAGTTTCCACTCCAAAATTGCGTATTTTTAGGGTCTATTCTATGTTAATTTACAAGAGGGTAATGGTGATTTAATGATCGCCCAGGTTGATGGGATTTCAATGGGATTGAACCATCGACGTCAATGGGGGGTTGAGGGGGGGTTGAGATGGACATATATGGAATTTGGGAGGCTTTTAGAAGTTCAAGCTGTCAAAGATATGGTGATACAATGATACAGATGCAGGGATACAATTTGACATAGTTGAGACGTGATGGCTGAAGGGCTAAGAACTAGGGGTTTTTACTTATTGGTGACTATGAACTAGTCCATCACCGGAAGATTCACTAACCAAGCAGTATACTGCGATGGGATTGGGGACATTTTTGTCAGATTGGTATGGCATAAATGGGTCAATCGGTCTTGGGGTATTGGAAGGTCATCTTCGTATGAACCCATCCCAATTCTGTAGGTCATCTTTGTATGTTTTTTTTTTGTTTGGATGAGCAAGGCCTAGGTGATTTTCTGCTGGAAGCCACGGAGTTACTAGGACTAGGACAAACAGGTTTTTTTTTGCAGACTTTCCCGTAGAGCCATCCAATGATATGAGCGGCTGAGCGGTTGGGGTGGTGCGGTGCCACCATGATTATAGGGATGATGGATGAAACGACCATCATCATGGTATCAAACTTACGCAGGAGTTCAATGTGAGGGTTAAAAAAAACCCAAAGTGTTTGCTAGCAACCGCTCGTTCTGAAACAGTAGAGACTGGACCTCATGAAACCCCAGATTTTGTAGGAAAGTAGGCCCAAGCCTTTTTGGGTTCCCGGTATCCCGCACTCATAGATTCTTGGCAACCCAGGATGCTACACGTGGAGTTGCAGCGTGTGGAGGAGAAGATGAACTGCTTGGATGATCGTTTCTCCAATTTAAGCGATCTGGAGGCTACGTTTTGACTGGGTGATGCTTCAGCTCTTTGGAAGTTCCTGTTGTCTTTTGGAACTCCCAAGATTGGTTCAGGTCAGGTGCCATGAGGGGTTTGGAATTGAAGATACCACGGAGTCACTTGAAGCACGGAGTTTCACCAGTGCGACCGTTTCACCTTGGGATTGCTGAATCTATCATGGCAAATAATATGTCGGATGGTCAAAACATGGCTTGCTTTTCCGAAAGAAAGGGGACGGTGACATCAATCCATCAAGGGATTGATGTATGTAGCCGCATTATAAGAATTCCCCTTCTGGCATGGATTGCTGTAAACCATTGATATGCCATCTTTTGATGCGTTTTGATCTGTTTTGATAACACAGATGGTGTTTTTTTCACCTCACAACAGCAATTTTTGGGGGCTCCCCCGGGCTCGACCGTGACGATCCCATGGCGGCCTAGGCTTCAGACAAGACTTCGAGAAGACACAAAATTTGGTCACAGCGACTGGGGCCCCGCTGAGTGGATCTCACTGGTAATGCCTGGGATAAAAACGCTGAGTGATGCAGTGATCTTTGGGGTCTAATGGAGAGAGACAGAGAGAGAGAGAGAGAAAGAGAGAGAGAGAGAGATATATACACATATTATATTGTATATATATTTTTCTATCTATCTATCTATCTATCTATTTATCTATTTATATATCATAATATCTACAACCAAGCAGGGGTTCATTGACCTGGTTCCACATTGACAGGGGCCAGGAATGAGACCCCCAGCAACTTAGCTTGTTGATATGGGGCTGAAATCCCTGGCAGCCCTGGTTGGACGCTGTCGACTCATGCCCTGGTTTTCCCAGCATAGCACACGCAGCCCAGGAAAGCCTGATGTCGGTTCACGATCGGTTTACCACCGAACTTGAAGGTGGCACACCAAACAATGGAGATGGAGCAACGGAGGGGGTTAATTTTGAGGTTCCGGAGGTTGAGAAACCGGCCCTTCAGGCTAAGGTGTCGCAGCGTTCTCTTATCTCTTCTAGGTGTTTGCCATGAATTTGATAGCTTGAGGCTGTGGTCATGTGTATTCCTTCAATTCCTTCAAATTCTCTACAGAAATGACGCAGCTTGGGGTTTGGATCAAGGTTGTGTGGGGGAAAGGGGGATTGTTTATCTAGTACCAAAAAAGTGCATCAAAATTGCAGGTCCGTCCATGACACCCCGTTCTTGTTGCTCGAATCCCCATGAGAAAGGTGGGACTCCCATAAAACAGACTGGAGCTTTGATGAGGTCTGAGCCCTTTCGATTTTTCAGCCCCTGGTGAGGTGTGATCACAGAGCTCAAGAAGTTGGAAACTCGCTTGGGTTCGGCCGAGACCGTGGCTTGGCTGTGTTCGCAGCCTGCGCTGGCTCCGAAGATCTCCGAAGTAGGTAGGACAGTGATAGCTGGGAAAAGCCCCGAAGGCACTTGTTCAGGTGGGAAGCCTCTGGAAATCGTCTCAGCAAGGACTAAGTTTAGGTTCTTTGAGGCTTTGTTGCTCTCTTGCCTTGGCGGTGAGCCTTGTTGGCTTCCCGAGGATTTGGGACTGCTCTCAGATGACGACCTGGAGATGAACCTGAACCAGGCCATCCTGCAACAAGCAGAGGTCCTTAGAAGCGAGTTCCCCAAATTTCTGGCGCCCTACTTTGCTGCCAGTCAGCACTGGAAGTGATGGGCATAAAGGGTACGGTACCGGTAGGGTGGTGCAGTACAGGTACGGTATGGGTACAGTACGGGTACGCACCGTACCGTACCCGTACTGTACAAGGTGAGGCCCCCTAGATAGCTAAGTTTACTTTTAGTTAACATCTTTTAACATCTTTCAACATCTTTCAACTGGGTTTTCTTTGGTATATGGGGGATATACTTATATTATAATATTTATATATTGAATTACGAAAACCAGCTGGTAAACCTGGCTGACATTCTTTCTGCGAGCAAAGCGAGTTTTTTGCGGACCATACCTGTAGCCCGCACCGTACCACGGCACGCCCTTTTCTAGAGGATCCGTACCTTTAGATAGAGCATTGTTCTTGACAACTCAGCTATATATATATAATTATATAATTATATATAATTATATATACACACTGTAGAGTCCATAACTTCTAATCACATGCTTCTTAAGTAATCATTAAATGTCATATAGATTCAGAGTTGAAACTGCAAAGCCAGTCTAGACTACTTATGATTCCTCAATAGAATTGCCTTTGGAAGATGAACTTCTTATTTCTTGCTATGTGGAACCCATCTTTGGGTTCCAGACCTTCCATGTCAGTACCCAGCTGTCTCCAGTTTGTACCACTTTTGCACCTCCACTTAGAATCTAAGATCATCCAAGGCGTTAGACATATCAACCAAATCAGGCCATGGTTCAAACATGCTCAAATCAACAGAAACCAACTAACATGATCCATTTCTTGCACCATGTTGCGCCCATTGGTGCATGGTTTTTCTCCCCCGGTCACCTGGGTCTGAGCTCTGAGGACCAAACCGCCACTCGGATTAATGCCTTGGAGGACCACCTTCAGCGCGAGCACAACGACTTGTTGGTGGCCCTGCAACAGGCAGCAGCAGCCACTGGCGTCACCTGGATTGATTGAATGGTTAAAGGATGTTAAAGGAACGCAGGGTTTTTTGGTGCTCGATGTTTGGGCAAATTTTTGAGACAGCAATGAAACGTGTTAGATGGTTGGCCAGATTTTTTCCAGATGAATTTTGCTGCTGGATGGAATGGTCAAGCAAGACAATTGACAGTGGTTGAAGATCAGGTGGTGAAGCAATCATAGTCTAAATACCGTCCATAATACTATGTATGTCCATGCCCATCCATGCCCATCCATAGCCCCATAAAGCCTACACACAACTAATTGGACGTGCATCCCCGGGAATAGTTCGTTTAACTGTGACTATGACCAACGCCTGAGCCGGTGCCCCATGCCGTCGATCAAGGTGCAAGAGGGTGATCGAGCCTTGCAGAGAGACTTGGCCAAGCGAACCAAGGAGGACTTGAGGCCGGCGCCGCCTGGAGATCACGGGGAAATGGCTGTGAAGCTGGTAGCATCTGGTAGCCATTGGAAACTTACATGCAAGTCCATCCATAAAAGGGGTTCAGAAAATGGTTTAGAAGAAACACATCTCCCCCTGAACGGCTGCTGGTCACTGACCCGATGTCATTTTTTTTTCATTTTCTCCATGAATCATCCATGTTTTAGGGGTGAATTGAGTGAATTGACCCATCCACGGAAAGTCACAGGGGTTTATGGACTCCCACCAGCTATCAACAACTAATGACTTATATTCACACTTAACTTACTCCACGTAATTATAGCTAATTATGCAGTTATCCTAGGCTGCTAGGCCATTTTTGTAGAGGATCATTAACCCATTCTGGGACACCTGGCTCAGCCCTGCGGCTGCGCTCGCAGAGGCAGCAGAGTGAGGAGCTCTCTGCTCTGACCCGACAGATGTCGGACATGAAAATCTGGCAGAGCAGTGCCATGGAAGAGGCCAAAGTCTTGCGACTGGAAGTCAAACAGCGAGAGGAGGACTGGAAAGTGGCGGTAAAGTTTATGAAGTTTGGAGAGGAGATGATCTGGCTGAATTAAAAAAACACGTCGCAGTGATGTTGTTCTATAGATTATTTTGGCTATGGATCAAGACCTATAAACAACATGTTTAGGGTGATGGACATCCAATTGCCAGCCAATTTGATGTTTACCCGGGGTACAGGGTTTTGACTCACGCCCCCTTTACTCATTGTGCGCGAGATGGCCCATGATTCTATCATCCTCCATTTTTAGTGAAGGTCCACTAATTAGTATAGATCCAAAAGAATGATGAACACGCAAATGCTCCTAATTCCCAGTGTAGTGTCAGCCCCCTACAAGGTGGTGCTCACCCCAGTTATGTTTGTTTGTTTATAAAGTTCAGTAACCAGTTCGATGTATCCATAGACTCCATAGACCCTCGTGAAATTTGAGTTATTGACGCCACCAACTTAGCGATTCCGAACTGGGGCACCACCTTGTATGTTATATATATAGATATGTATATGCGAACAGATATAAATATAAATACAATATAATCAAATAAATAAATGACACAAACACACAAACAGAGAGAGAGAGAGAGAGAGATAGAGATAGATAGATAGATAGACAGACAGACAGACAGACATATATATATATATATTAAAGATAAATATAAATACACTATTCAAATACCCACCATTCCCGAAAGCCTCGTGAAATGATAGGATCCTCCAGTCCCAGGACACCTTCGGCCGTGTGCTTCCACTGGAGGAGCGGATGGCTTCCACCATCACCAGGTGCCACACTTGGACGCTTTTGGATGCGCTTACTGGGAATATTTATAATGGGAAAATATACATATATAATTATATGCATAAATAGGCCATAATAGGATATAGTTAATGGGATATCATGATCTAATGGTGATTTACTGGTATTAAAAGGGGATTGAAGATGATAAATGGGATAATCCCATCCACTATTAAACACTCACTACATGGTCCCAATTCTGTGGAACTCCCCGACGAAACCATGCTTTCATTTCGGGTGTTTAATGTTGAGGGGGGAAGGGACTATTGGGGTCTCCGAAAATGGGGATTCGGGGTTTTTATTTTCAGTCAAATAAAACAAGCAGCAGCAGCACTATGATATAAAATGAAGTAGTTGCAATGGCAATGGCAATTTTAACGGGGAAAAATGCTGATAAAATCTGATAAATTAGGAATCCGATTTGACAATACCCCAAACAAACCCACAAACAGCATGTCCATGTGTTTGTAATTGAGGTATTCTCCCCGATGTGAAATCGATTCCGAAGGATACCACAGGATCATACGTCTCACCTGAGTCAAGATACTGTAGTTATATAAAGTTCTATAAGTCTATATATATAAAATTATATAAGTAATGTTGAGTATACAACGAGCATATTCAGTGGTGATTTCGTAATGTGATTTTTTTTAGACAAACCGAAACCTGCTTAGAGCTGCCCCTGGGCCAGGATGTGTCAGCTAGAGGAGCAAGTGAAAACGGACTCGACTGAGAAAAGACTCAGTGCCCTTGAGGACCTTCTGCAAGGCGCCTTGGTGGTTGCTGCGATTTTTGAAACGGGTCACTCATGGTCACTCTTGATAAAAACCCATTGCAAAAATATCTGAAAGCAGCTGATGGTGGCGATTCTTGTGCGGATTTTGGAGGATCTAGCTGGTGGTTTTTCGAATCTTTGTGTATTTTCACCCACGCAAAGTGGGACGATGCCCCCAACGCTGGCCTTGGTGGTGTTAGGGTGCCACTGGGGCTGGATGCAGGCCTGGAGGAGAACATGAAAAGTGTGGTGACTCGGACGTGAAGTTGGGCGGTATGCAGTACCTGGTGGTTCATCGTCCTTGGCAAATAGGAGGAAACATGTGAAAAGTCTTGGTGCTTCATCACACTCGAAGTTCATGCACGCAGTGTTTTTTTTTTTCAATGAAGGGCTTCAGTCAGTTAAGTCATGTTAAGTCCTTCAAAAACCCCATGTCCACTTTTTACTAAACTTGCGGTTTTCGCTGAAACTCCCCTTTTGCGCGCGTGAAGCCGCTCAGGAACCGCTTCAACGCTTGGATGTGAGGCCGAAGGAGGACAGATTGCTGACAGCCTTGGAGGAGAAAGTGGACTTGGCGGTGCAAGATCTCAAGAGGTGGCAATCCCATGGAATCCCCGATGGAAGGTTGGTGCACCATGGTAAAACTACTGTGAACTCTTAAGAATGGGGAGTTTACATAAACTATTGTGAAGGGCAGGAACCATTGTTTTAGAACGGTTTATGCCTTTCTATTTCTACAATTTTCGACGCAGGCAGCTGGAGACCCAGATCACCGAGCTGGTGCAACGGGACGAGACGCAAGCCCAAAGGCAGCAGATGGGGACATGGCGGGTCATAGAAAAATCCAAGAATATATGTTAACATTAAAAAATCCATAAAAATCCTATTTAGAGGGGTTTGTATCCCAACTTATGGTGGTTGATGGTTGCTGGCAGGGCCAAGTTGAGATATCTTTCTTGGATGTCTAAGGTCGGTTTTGACAGTGATTCTTCCTTTTTCACTTCAACTTGTCGCGATGGGATGGGTTCTGCTTCTATGCCAGGGTGTTGCAAGTTGCATTGCGAAGTTCCCTCTCCTGCACGTGGATGCGTTTTCTGCAGATTATCTGTGGGTCTTAAAGAAGTTTTCAAAGAATCCTTAACAGGTGGTACTTCCGTGGCATGCTCAGCTTTTAAAACCCGTGGCTCAGCCCACATCTCCAGCCCCAGGGCGGAAGTGAGAAGGGACTTGGAGCAACGACTGCTGGACGTGAACTCCAAGACGCAGCACCTCTTGGCAGATCAGAGGGAAGACTTTGACGCGAGGCTGGCGCAGGTGCCATCTGGGGATGGGATGGTGATGGAATGGGCTGACTCCATGTGCCATTCGCATCGTTGTGCATTTGGGTTTATGATAGTTTATGACAGTCCCCAGCATGAATTACATCGACCTTCTCTGCCGCAGTGCTGGCTTTCAAAGCCGGATTCCTTTTGGCCCCTAGGTGCAGCGCCAAGGGGATGAGTTGAGAAGAGAATTGGAGCTCAAGAACCTTGGACTTGACTTGGAAGTCACCAGGTGGCTGGGATCGGCTGGGATACAGTGCAGGACGTAAACTGTGCAGATGGGCCCATCCGTTTTTTCTCAGGTGCACCACCAGAGGTCCCGTTCTGATTTTCCAGCCGACCCACCTAGTGGCGAGCAACCCAGGTTGCAAACTTTTCCAGTGGATACAGTGACAAAGAGGCAACAAAAACACATCTAAGATCATCTAAGAATCTCATATGTACAGATGCAGGAAAAGTTGGTAACGCCAGTGACGCCTGGACAAAGCGGTGCCATAGGGTTTCCTTCTCAACTCCACCTGTCATTGGTAGGGTTCAAGTGAAAACCTTCAGGAAACCATTGAATTATTGCGGAGAGTGATGTAACATTTTCCCTAGAGCACCCCCCCAAGGAAATGTCCGATTGATTTGCGGCTTTATTGTGCAATCAAATGAGATCAAATGAGATCAACCTTGGCATCGAGGATTGAAAAGCGAAACTCTTCCACTGAGACATCTCTGGAAGACTTGAAGCACCAACTGGAGATCCTGAGCGCTCAACAGCAGAGCGTCCCTGAGTCAGAATCTGGCACCGGTGGTGTTGGAGTGAGGTCTATCAGCCAAGAAGTTCGGGGAACGTGGTGTCCCCAACTTTACTTCAGACACCTTATCCAGTTAAGAATTCTTAAGACATTTAAAACCTAAGCCTTTACTTTCGACTTAGCTTAAACAAAGGAACATATTTCAACGAGATATGGTTATACCATTTATTGTTGGTTTTACCGTTATACCCCTATTGTTAACCCCTTTTCCTCAGTCAACCCACCATGTTCACCCCAAAAGTCGGGCCATTTCCATCACGTTGGCCAGGTGAGCAAGAAACAGGCGGATGACCTCAGGCAGCTGAGCGCGGAGCTGGAAATCCGCATGGTGAAGGCCACACCTCTGGGGGGCTGGGGGTGGGAAGGGCCGGTTCCCGGTCCGGGGAAGATACGCACCGTTCTGCAGCTTGTTTTGGGATGTTTTGGGAAATTTCCATTGTATTATAGTAAGCCCCAAAAAGGTAGAACATAGTCAAATCCTATTACAATGGTGGTTTAGAGAAATATATACATGTCTGCATTTTGTTGGGGAGGGGATTGCCCATATACGCGAAGCCCTGACAAAAAAAATTGCACATATAGTGGGGTCCCTAGTTATAAGCTGGCTTAACAACCCCATCTAACAATAGATACATCACCCAGAAACCTTAGTTATTGTAGAAATATCATTAGATCCCATTGATATCCCATTAAATCATATTAAATCACTATAAGATCCCATTAAATCCCCTTAAACGCCCTAAACGTTCGCCATGAGGAACAAAGTGCCGTGCAGCGCTCCAGCATGGAGCTTCGGACAGACTTGGCACCTTGGTAGTAACGGTAGGTATCTGGTTGGTGGTTTGGAACATGACTTTTATTTTCCATGATATATGGGATAATCCTTCCCATTGACTTTCATATTTTTCAAGATGGAACATGACTTTTATTTTCCATAAATTTTCACAATATATGGGATGTCATCCTGGATAATCCTGACAAAATTGACGAACTCCATCATTTTTCAAGATGGTTGAAACCACCAACCAGGTATATGATGGCATACGATATATGATGGTATATATTTATACTGTGAATTATATATAGATAAATAAATCAATGCATACATATATAATTAAATATTATATTGATTTATATTGTTCCCCACCTGCCAGGTGAGGGTCTCTAGATTTTTAACAAAAGTGCAACACCTTCCTTCTCCTTCTCCTTTCTCCTCCTCTGGCAGCTCCGGATGCAGTGGGTGACGCCTGGACCCGAACTCGATATCACCAGCTCTGGATGCTGTGGAGGGCGCCTGGACGCGAAGACATGTTAGATAGAATGCCAGAAAGAATGTCAGAACATACTGTATGACAGATGGATAGAATGCCAGATAGAATAGAATGCCAGAATATATGCCAGATAGAATGTCAGGTAGAATGTCAGAGTATATGCCAGATACATGCCGGAAAGAATGTCAGAACAATATGTCAGGGCGGGGGGATCATGCGAAGCAAAGTAATTGAGGTATTTCTTGAACATTTTGTTTTTTTGGTTGATTTTTTGGGCCCAAATAGCCTCTGGTAATTGAACATAGCAAACTGGAAAATGACCAGAGAAATAGTTGATTTACCGAATTAAAAAATGGTGGATTTTCCAGTTCGCTATGTTAAAGTACCAGAGGGTTTCTTAGATTTCGATGTTTTGGAGAATAGGTTTCACCACCTGATGATCATCCCGATAGGCAACTCCGCGCACAGAGGGGCGACACCTCAAAAAATATATTACTCCATTGAGTGGTATATGTATATACTGTATATATATATACCTACAATATATATATAATTATATAACAATTATTATATAACAATTATTGTTTTTACATATGTAATATATATTGAACACTGTTGAATGTATATGTTCAACATTCGGCAAACAAAAAACCAAGGAGCGCGGCGCCCAAGAGGCAGTAAATCTGTGCAGCGAAGTCTTGCGGGAAGAGCAGGCGCAGCTGGTACGCGAGTTCCGCCAGGAGCTGGGTGTGAAAAAAAAACGCAGATCCAGCTGGGTTTAGCAAAAAAGATGCCAATTTTATGGTACTTTCATGGGGAAGATTCAGTGATTGAGCTTGATTTTTTGCGTGATTAAGCTTGCATCACAGGTACTTACTAGCCTATTTTTCGGACAAACCCATCTGACACCTGTTGCAATCGTTCGGAAATCTGTTTGATTATAAGAGACGGAACATGAGGTCCAACAAAACGATGTTTTCTCCAAATATGTTCTTTCTTTTTCAACATGTGACCATGTTGGGGCTTGCAGCTTGAATTCAAGCAAATCGTACGTTGTCTTGATTTTCAAGAGGTATGAACTGAAGCTACGTGGAGACCCCCTTTTCGCATTTGCTGGCTGCAAGTTGGTCAACAAAGATGTCGTGCCATTGGCAGCCTCGAAACCTTTGTTTTCAAGCGGGACATCACTAGTGGCAGAACGGATTTTCTGGGAAAATGTTTTTTTGAGCCAGCCATTTGTCCTTAGCTGTGGCTCATTTTCCTCGTCATGGTGGTTTCCATTGAGAATGCAACCAAAAGATATCTATGAGTATGGTTGCATCAAAATTATTTGGCTGAGAATTTTAAGTTTCAATGCTCCAAGAATTCCATGGGATTAATGTCCACTTAGTCCACTTGTAGCTCTCCGCATCCCAAGACATGACAGATATCAGCCCTGAACATCAGGAGTTGGAGAGGCGTTTATCCCAGGCGCCCACACCAATTTTGGTGGAGGCCATGGCCTTCGGGAACCTGTTGAGCTCTGAGCCAAAACTTCAATGGCAGGTGGTCATGGAACGTTTTCGTGGCCTGATTTTGGGGAAGATCACTCCCAATGGTGTTAGAACGAAGACACCTTGCAACCATAGCACCGACCATAGGCTTGGATGAGTATGGGCACATAAGGTCATTGAGAGTTGTTCCCGGAGCAACTTCCAGAGAATTTCTCAGACATTTGCAGGAACCCCCCTCATTATTTGACCGGGGAAAATCCATCAGTCTCCGGTGAAGACTTTGCTTTGATCATCATAAATGATGGGACAAGAATGGGTTTAAACCATGAAAAACAATCTTAAACAACTTACGAACCATCTATATAAACCTTGTAAACCAATGATATCAATCATCTTAATCCAGGACGTGGTTAAATGATGTTAAATGGTTCATCATGATGGTGGATATGTAATATCTATTTACAGACACACACACACATATATATATATATATACACATTGGAAATCACACAGTATAAACCATCATATATATATAATATTTAATAAACCATCTCATTTTCTTTTAAACCATGTTGCGACCAATCGCCAACCATCTATCTACAGTAACTCCGTGATAAAGCCATGATTTCGACCATCTTTATTAACTGTTGATATAAACCGCACAAATCCACTATAAACCACTATAAACCCATGATATGACCCATCCCGTAAACCATCTTCCAATCCATTGCTTTGCTTCGATGCCACTTTTTCGGCCAGGGCTTGGAAGAAATCCAAGAGCTCCGTGAAGAGCTTCAGGAGCTGAAGGAGGGAATGGAGGAGACTCAGCTTTCCCAGGGGGTTTTCGATGGATTTCTGGGAGATCTAATGTCCTATAGTTTTTTTTTTGGGAGCTATTTGTTTTTGTTGGTGCAAAACTAAAACTGTTTGAATTTCATTGTAGATATCCGAGAACTTGTGGTGGATGGACTCCGATTCAAAGTGATATGTGGAAAAACTTGATTGATTGACAATGCAACTTCCGGGGGTGTAGCTCCCAACGTGGTGCCCTCATTTCCAATTGCAATCCCGCCAACAGCCCTCAGTTTTTCAACGTGTTTTCGTGACATCGAGCTTTCGGTGCACATTTTTCCGACCTCATCTTCCAAAAGTGCTCCGAGACCGTCAGTGTTTTTAAGATTTTGAACTGCAAATTAAATCGGGCTCTTGCTACAGTCTCGTGCACTTTTTGTCGGCAGCTTTTCCAGATCGAGGCCTGCGACCGCGGAAACATAGACCCTACCTTCGCGACCCCAGGAGCCACCGCACCTGTAAAACACAGGGATTCGCGCGCTTCCTTACATGGGTTCACCCGCAAATTCCCGAAGTGTTGCTGTCATCTACTGTTTCATTTCCCAACCACTTGATGACTTTCATGATGGTGTGAAAACTAGCCATGACTAGTCCTCCGTAACTTGGAAGTTTGGCAACTGCGGTAACATGCGGTAACTCAATTTCCTTAAATGATCACCCACGTAGAGGCTCCAAAATGGAGAAATATGTCTATAATTACCTGGGTTTGTTTAAGGATGCTTAAGGTGATTTTTTGTTTCCCAATGGAAAATCCACCATTTGGGGAATCTATAGTGAATATGTTCTATTTTTTTGGGGGCCCCTTAAGAAAATCCAAGATAGCTACGTCACAATGTCTACACGAAGCTACGGGCTGAGGCGCCGAGGCCGCGCGGCAACTCGACTTTTTTCATGGCGATGCTTTGGCGGTCGAGGGTATAACTTGCTTCAACAATTAATGGGTCATAATCATCCTGATACATCTGTATATTCTTGCTCTGTATAATCTTGCTTGATGTATAATATCTTGACATATCGATCTTGGTAAATCTTGGTGTCAATTTTGGAAGCGGCTTCAACCATTGGGATGGTTTGATGATTGGAACAGATTAAGATAGACTGTCCGTCAGACAGGGTCCAAGGTGAGGTTTGAACGCTGCAGGTGAATACAAGTGCCATCACATTTCCCTGCCAAAACAGGCCTCTTCCCAAGACACCCTGGTGGAAAAACAGGATAAAACAGGTAGCAACAGCAACCTTTGCCCCGCAATAGATGCCACCCAAGAAACTCTGGTTTAGTACTGGCTTTGTCCATTTTGGAGTGGCACATGAGGCAGTTGCTGCAATGCTGGGGGATGATGATAAAATCGCTCTTCACCACATCAACGATCCACCATCAAATCTGAACGCCAGCCCTTTACAAGTGGATTAACATGATTTTCAATGATTTTCATTGATTTTCTTATGGGAAACTTGCAGGTTGATGGCATTCCCACATGGATCAAAGGTGACGTTTCGCCCAATACAGATGCCAACCGCCTACTTCGAAGTGTTGAGGACTGTCTCGTAATTAGAGTAGTTTGGGATGGAAAACATCAGCAGGTTATCCATGTTGAAGTTCGTTTCGTTGAAGTCATTTTGTGACATGGCCATTGCCGATTGCTGATCCCACCTGGCGAATTTTCCTTTCCGAAACCTAAGTTCGTTAAGTTATAACAATCCTCAGAGTGGGTTGCTAACAAGGACACTAAGGAAACTAAGGTCCTTCACTGGAAGCGTCTGAGTTCGGATTGATGATTAGATCAATCAAGGGTTATGTACGCTATTTTTTCCTAAGCGTACACAGTTGGCATCCATTGAAGGGTCTTGCAATGGGAACCCAACCCAGGGTTAATTTTATGCATTTTTTTAGAACCTCAAATTCATTGAACTAATTGCATAATCGTATATATTTTGATAATCCATTCCCTATAATATTTCTTAGATATCTCCCAAACAAAACCATGGTTTAGTACTGGATCTACTCATTTTTTGTTGGATAAGTTTGGATATGTATCCCCGGATTCCAGGTATCAGGTTAAGCCAGGTTAAACCCTACTTGATGACCCAATGTTTGATGGTTACCTTCTGTTTATTTAACGTAGCATAACGTAGCTAATTACTGAAATTTTTGAATTTTTTAAATAGGTAAATCATCATAAATCATCTCATCATTGGGCAATTTTCGTAGCTATAGGCCATGTTAAATCCCATAGGATCCATGTTTGCCATATATAGTAACATTTACCATCAATATACCCCAAATGTTGGCATATATACCATACATGGATCCTATGGGAATAACTAGAGGGTAACCCCCCATGGCAGGCACCCCATGGCGTCACCGTCCGGTCGCAAGGAGACCGTCTCAGAGAAAGTCCGCCGCTGCGACGCCGCGGCGGAGCTCTGCGAACGCCTGGCACGGCGCATGGAGTGGCAGCTGAACCCAGAGGTGCAGGGTGGAAATGGGTATGTCTGAAAATGGGGTATACCCCCAATTATAGCCATTTAGTAGGGATAATGATCAGCAAAACCATTGGGTGTAGGGGTACACTATTTTCAGACAAACCCTTAAATTCTCCATTGGTCTGGGTAAATTATAACGACCTCACTGTTCTCCCTCACTGGAAATCATGGTTAGTAAGGGAAATGATCCCCAAATGGCCCAACTATTCAGGTTAGTGAAATATTATAATTTACCCAGATTGGTCCATGGCCCAAAATGGGATTCTTCAGCTGAACCAATTTTCGTGAAGAAAATCCCAGCAAAAAATATGCAAAAAATAAGAGCTAAATGTCACTTTTTGGCGAAACCTCTTAGTTTTTGGAGGGGTGTAGTTTGGTTTCGTGGACTACTTGGTCGACGATTCCGCGAACCATGGTATTTCGTGATGAATTTGAGTGCCCTTTCAACAAAGTGCAAGCTGACTGTTTGGTCGCCAGGTTTTTTCTCTCACGGGGAGGGACTATGGGATCGAACTTCGAATCATGATTCCAGTTAGCAACAGGCCAAGACAACTCTGCAGATCAATACTAAACCCATTACTCGTATTGCACAAACTAACAATGAGCCCCAGTTTCCGGGGTTTATTCAAGCACAAATAGATAATTACATACATATATATACACATATACTGTAACTGCTCTATATTTTGATGTAATGATGTAAACGATTTAATATAAAGTATACATCCAACTAGCGGCTTAGTGCTTGAAAAAGTACGAGATGTAGCATGCTACCAGCATTTCATGATCACCCACAGGACACCCGTGCTGGGAGCGGCGTGCCGGGCGAGCAAAACGCCTACGCCGCTGGTGAAACACTCCGATGGGATGGCCATTATCACTGTCACTCACTAGTGAAACAATATGAAAAATGATAGGTTTTCTTAAGCAGTTTATGAGACTTCAAGTGATACCTTATTTGGTTTTTTCATGTTTTTCCGTTCTGAAAAACTCACCTGGAGGCTGCGGATGGGGATGGACATGTGCCAGGGTGGGCCTTTCACCCCCACCAAGGAGGGCATGATCTTGCAACGGGAAGGCCCTTGGTCTCTTTACGAATCGAAAGGTCGCTATTCCTTTGACGACACATCTGGCTGGCTCAGTACTGCAGGGAGCAAAGTTGGACAATTCATTTGCAGGAATCTTGGCGGATGTGCCCCGCACGGTGCCCATCAAAGTTCGGAAGTTCTTCTTTTCCTTCATAGCTTTAAAGTCCCAAAACCATACTGTATCACACACATATATGTACTGTATATATATATATATAGATAGATATACTGTGTATATATATATATATACATACACATACATATATGCATATTATAGATATATTCATCACATATCCAAAACTTTCTCCA